TTCATCTCACCCCCCCGCTCCCACCATTCTTATACCCAAGCCCGCTTAACTCCGTCAACAAACATTTATCAGTCCGTTTCTGTCCTTGACAGAGGCCAGAGTCGTGACCTAGACAATCATCTTTCATGAAAGGTCCCTAATGTTGCCATTCCTCAGCCTCTCTCTGCAGCTGAGTGGGTTTGTTGTAATTTAGAAGACCCGGAGAAAAACCAAGCAACGCTTAGAGAAATGAGTTACACAGCTTTATTACCCTGGTGGACTCACAGGAGGTTGCCTCTCAAATTCTGAGCAAACCAATATGGTGACAGCCCCTCTTTTATCCCCTTTTGGTTTCTTTGTCCCCCAAATGTGGGATGGGAGTTCCGGACTTTTCTTGGGCTTTGCAAAAATTCCCGTGGGTTGGGATGGGGGTCTTGAGATCATATCTAAGGGGCTGGCCTGGCGCCAGTGCTAATAACCCCCCTCTGGAGGCTGTGTCATGGTTTATGGCCTCAGGTCTTGCGAGACCAAATTCTGGGAAAGGGGCAGTGACTTAATTATAGGTTATCAAGAATGTACACTGGGCTTGCTGGCACAGATTCAGATTGCTAGCCCCCCCAAATATCAGAGTTACATTGGAATTGGCCTTTTAGCCTTCTCAGGCTCCCCAGAACTCCAGCCCTAGTGTCCCGTGCTTCCTGGGGCACCCCACAGGCCTCTCACGCTCCCAGCATCCCACACTGACCCACCCCTCCTGCTTATTTATTTTCTACCGTCCCTACCTGGTGAAGCATCTGCTCCTCCACTGAACGCTGAGCTCCGAGCATGGAGCCTGAGGCTGTCAGCCGCGGTGGCCCCAGCACAGATGTCATGGAGTGGGCCAGACAAACGAACCTGGAAGAAAGCCTGCAGGACCATACAGGGTCATGCCATCTGCCCTGTCCCTCACTCGGACCCGAGATACCCTGTTTCTGAAGTCAAAGAGCAGTAAGTTTGGCATCTCCTTGCCTAGTTCTCATCCGCCTAGGATGCAAGTCCCATTTTGTCAAGAAAATCAAGTGAGCCATTAGGACTTTTTGACTTTAGGGAACAGCCAGTAGTGAAAGGGAGGACGCAGAAGGCAGCGGGCTCCACCGCTTTCCCACGCCCCTTCCACCTTCATTCAGCGGACCCGTCCGGGAGGCCCCGCGACGCCGGGACCCGCCCCGCCCCGTCGGCGCGCTCGTGACGTCAGAGGCGGCGGCGCCGGAGAGCGCGCGGGCGGCGGCGGCGGCGGCGAGGCGCCGTCATGGAGTTAGTGCGGGAAGCGCGGGAACTGGTTTGCTGGGCTACGGAAGAGATGGAGGCGCCCGAGGCTGCCCGGGCCCCGAGTCGACGCTGCGCAGGTGAGGGCCGCTCGGCAGTGAGGGCCACCCATCCAGGAGGGAGCCTCCGGGTGCGAGCTCGTCTTACGGAAGACGCGCCCTCCTCCTCCGCGCCAGGCGTCCCCTCGAAGGGCGCCCCCCAGCCCCCCAGGAGTGTGTTCAGGAAGAGGGCCCTGGGTCTCAGTGAGGACGACCGGGCGGTAACCCTCACCCCGGGAGCCGCCCGAGGTCGCTGGCCCCGGTGCGGTCCCTCCCTGGGTTAGAGAAGCCCTTCGTCACTAAGTGTAAATAGGAACTCCTGGGTCGGGATGCCTGTCTGCACCACCCACCACCCAGCTCAGCCAGGGAGGACATTCGAGTCAGCCAAGACCACCCCATTGGAGACGAAATCTGTAGGAATGATAGCTCACGTCCAGTGATGACAGAGATCCGCCACCCCGCCTCTGGAAGGAACCCTCTCCCAGGAGAAAGGAAGCACCCCACCAGGGAGGGAATAAGACTGCCCCACACCCAGTGCGAAGCCCACCCTCTCAGCGACCCATCCAAGAAGGACTATCTTAACCCCAAAATGTGAATCCGCCCCTCCCTGGGAGAAGTGAGAATTCCCTAGTGAAGACCCCACCCCCACCCTGGGAACAGGACCCTCCACACTGATGCGCCAGGCGCACCTTTACATGCTGTCCCCACAGGCTGTGTCTGGGCCAGGGGGCTGACATCTGGGCCTACGTCTTACAGCATGTGCGCAGCCAGAGGTGAGCCTGGCTGCATAAGGGTGGCTGTGGCAGGGGAAGGGACATAGGCAAGTCCCACAATAACTTCTCCTCCTCCTGCCTCTCCACTTAGGAATGTCACGAAGATCCGGGGAAACCTACTCTGGTAACTTGTCCTCAAAGCTATCCGTATTTACCCCAGTCCCATCCAGCCCTGTCCCCACCCACAGCCTTACACCTCCTGGAAGTCCCTGTCATTCCCTAACTTCGTCCTCATTTCCTCAGGTATGGCCACAAATACAGTTCAGAGGTAAGAAGCATGTCCTGCAAGATGTTCTTTTATCAAACGAGGGGATCATTTGTTCTGGGCCAGCCTTGTATTGAGTGATAATGGGCATACTGGGTCACAAAACAGCCTTGATCCATACATTCATAGGATTTACAGTCAAGGGGAGGCAGGCATGAGCTACGGGAAAGGGAAGAACATAGATATGAGGCATCACAGCTGGTGAGGGAAGATAGGAGAATGCATTAGTTTGGGAGAGGTACTGAGGCCAGGGTGGGACTTAGTATATGGGAGCGGTCCAGGTGATATCTGGGGGGACACTTAGATGAGGGGCTCATGAGGAGATGAGGACTGGGACAGAGATGTGTCATCAATGCAGAGACAGGAAACAGGTTGGGAGAGTGATATAATTCCAGAGGAAGGGCCCAGGATAGGTCTCTAATGTTCCTCTGAGCCTAGAGATTCAGACACGGTAACTACCGAGGGGGAAAAAATCTGCCACACCCCTGGGCAGATGAAGAGACTCGTGCTCCACAAAGGACAGTCAGGCCAGGCTGAGCCAAGGCTAGGCCATGTATCTGACCCTGTACCTGATCCCACAGGCCTGTCGGAAGTCGGAGCTGGAAGCTGCCGTTGCCCACCTGCGGGCAGAGATCCAGGAGTTAGACCAGAGCTTGGAGCTGATGGATCAAGAGACCGAGGCTCAGGGTAACTCATGTGGCTGGACAGATGGGCAGCAGAAAGGGTATTGGGAAGGCACTGATGACCACGCTGCTCCTCCCACAGACATGGCCATGGAGCAGGTATTGCAGAGCATGCACGACACCCAGCGGCATGCTCTCCTCCTTCGGGCCCAAGCTGGGGCCATGAGAAGGCAGCAGCGTGGACTCCAACATCCCATGCAGTGGCTACAGAATCAGCTCGGGCGCCTGCAGGACATAGAAAGGTGGGCTTCAGGTGCGCACTAGGCTGGGTGGAGAGACATTTTCCTTAGAGACCCCAGTATTCTTCCCTGACCCCTTCTTGAGTTCCAGAATTCTAGGCTCTGCTCTTTAGGATTTAAAGTCCACGAGGCCAGGAAGTTTTGTCATCTCACCCACCAGTATTTGTGCCTAGAATGGTGCCCCCTGTATATCTAGAACACCACTGCTGGGAAAGAAAAGTAAACAAGGAACAACCCTGTCTTCATGGAGCTTATACTCTGATGCAGAGGAGACAGATGGCAAACTAGAAAGCAAACAAACCCAGTAATTGCAGGTAGAGATGAGTGCTATGAAGAAAAAATTATATAAGGGGAGAAGAAGATGCTACTCTAGGTAGGATGGGTCAGAGAAGGCCTCTCTGAGGAGGTAACATTTGAGTTGGGGAAGGAACTTCCATGAAGAGGGACAGCAAGAGCAGAAGCCCTGAGCTTGGCATATGGGAAGAACAGCCAGGAGTGTAGTTCAGTCAGTTTCACAGGCAAGAGGGAGAGCATGAGAAGGTGAGGTTGAGAGGTGGACATAGCACCATGGAGTCACTGGAATGCAATTCATGCCCTGGTTTGGCCACTTACAGTGTGACCTTGGGCAAAGTGTGTGCCTCAGTTTCAAAGATCTATAGAAAGAATAATATTACCTACTTTACATGGCAGGTATGATAATTGAGTTAAGTCATGCAAAGTGCTTAGAAGAGTTTCTGTTAACCATTGTTATTCTTTTTTCTTTCTTTTTTTAAATATATTTTATTGATCTTTTACAGAGAGGAAGGGAGAGGGATAGAGAGTTAGAAACATTGATGAGAGAGAAACATCAATCAGCTGCCTCTTGCACACCCCCTACTGGGGATGTGCCCGCAACCAAGGTACATGCCCTTGACCGGAATCGAACCTGGGACCCTTCAGTCCGCAGACCGACGCTCTATCCACTGAGCCAAACTGGTTAGGGCAACCATTGTGATTCTAATGGTGATGAGGACATATATTGTATACAAGGGTTTTGAGCAGAATAGTGACATGATCTTTCTGAGGTTTTAACAGGATCATTTAACTGCTGGGTGGAGAACAGACTGCAGAGAACGAAAGTAAGGAAGACCAATGAGGAGGCTAATGTCAACCAGCCAGGAGATGACAGTGGCCTAATTTTGGAGATGGCCCCTGAGATTCAGACGCAGGGATCCCTGTGACTAGCTTTGCTGGCAGCAGGAGGGGACACAAACATCTGTTATCCCAGCTCCCTCCTACCAGGGACCCAGCCCCAATTGCATTCTTTCTAGGAAGGCTAAAATGGATATAACCTTTGGCCCCTTGACATCGGCAGCCCTAGGCCTGGAGCCTGTGGTCCTGGTAAGAGTCCTGGGCCATGCGGGGGGAGAGGAGGGAGTCTGGGATCAGGTGGGCCCCTGGGTCCCCTTTATGTCCCATCCTCTTGTTCCCAGGGTGATGTCCGAAGAGCCTGCACCCTCCGAACCCAGTTTCTACAGAACCTTCTGATTCCTCAGGCCAAAGGAGGCAGCATCCCGTGAGTGTCACTGAGCCCCCAGAAACCCTACAAAACCTGGGCTTTGGAAGTAGTTACTTGCCTGTTAATTCATCAGACACTGAGTGTCTGGGCTGTGTCAGCCCCAGGGCCTGCCCTGACAGGGCTCCCAGATGGGAAGAGGTGGAGACAGACCCATCACAGACAGTAACAACCCAGGCAGTTAGGACTGTTGGGGGATAGGGAAGTCTAGGAGTCTTCTGGGTACTGAGAAGAGACACTCTACCTCAACTAAGGAAGCAGGGAGGGATGGGTCT